AAAAAACATTAAAAAAAATTTAAATTAAAAACATTTAATTAATTTTTGAAAAAAATTGTATATTCCCAAAATTAAAATATTAGGGTAAAGGCGAAGAAGGTGTTCTATATATAGTTTAGGTCTCTCATGCGGGGGATCACCAACTAAGATCTAAGAACCAAATTGGTATGGCTCTTTACCCTATTTCTACTATTACCTGTAACAGGCTATTTAATAGTAAAAACGGAACGACCCTGCCTTGGAATTTAAGAACGACGAATCTTCACTAAAGAGGAGTATGAGAACATGACGCAGTTCTAATAAAAAAAACTAACTCTATTCACTGTCTTTATTAACAAAACTCAGACAATGACGTGTTCCTACCTACCCACTGAACAAGAGGCATAACGACCTCTCTGTTCAAAGGCATAAATAAAACTGAAATAACACAGCGAAACGTCAGCAAGAAATCAGCGCTAATTTCTCCTGGTCGGATAAAATAGCACACCTCGGCGCATGTCCATTTTCCCCATAAGTAATAGCAGAAGCCGCACAACAACTGCTAAAAATTGCATGACCACCCTTAAGCACTACTCAATGGAGGGTGGCGCTTAACGCATTACAACTAAACATACCGTTACAAGCGCTAACGTGCGGGCAAAAACACGCAAAGTCGGTATGTTGCAACCAATTGTTGCGCCACCAACATACAGGGTGTGAACGCACACACATTATTTTCAAAATTGTATTGAAATCGAATGAAACACAGAATTTTTCGATGGGACAAATTTGTATGCCATTTTTATTTTTATGCTTTTGAAACACCGAATTTGTTTGGAATATACAAGTATTGCTATTTTTTTAAGTTTTCATAATAAAAAGTACCTAAGGATTAGCATTAAAAACACGCAGAAAAATAAAATAATGTCAATTGAAGAGTACAAACGGGTTTGCTGAGCTGTGCTGCTTGGAAATGTGTCGTTATTTAATGAACATTGAGCTCCCATATATTAATTATTGTGTACTGTCTATTTGCAATTTTAATAATTAAGTCTAATATTATATATTTGTTGCACGGATACGCCTGGCTTGCGTATGGCTATAGCCTCGCCGTGAGGTAGTATCTCCAGCTGTTGCGAAATGCCATCGATAATAAGTGTGGCCGACTTGGGCACACGTTCCAGGCCAGCTATGACCACGCGCTCAATCCAAGCGGGTGTCTTATAGTTAAGTTCGCCAATCGGATTGACATCCAACTTGTTATTTTCGAAATTGAATTTGATATAGTTGTATACACCATTGCGATATTCGTAAGATTTCTCATCGTCCACGTAGAGTGTACCCTCGGCTTTACCTGCACGGTTCAGACATATAACCAGGGTGTATGGATCGTTCTTCATGAGCGTGGCGGCACGGCGTATACGCTCTTTTTTAGGTATAATAGTGCCGCCGCGTTGGAAGACTGGAATCTAAAGGGAAATATGTGTTTTATTACAAGAAGTTATGTTATTAGCATCAGGGTTGCAAATAATGCATAAAAAAAATGGAGTAACATTTGGATTATATTTTATTTCGAAAGTCGAAATTTAAAATAGATTTTTAAATGTTCAATCCCAAAAACCGGGAAAAATAAAAATTCAATCGAAAATGTATAATCAAAAAATGTAATTAAAATACGAAATACAACAATTAACAAATAGTTATTTGGGTTAACTATTTGTTAATTGTTGGTTAAAAAAATATT